GCCTTTGAGTTATGGTGTTGGAGGAGAATATTGAAAGTGCCATGGGCTGCCAAAAGAACCAATAGATCCGTTTTGGAAGAAGTGCAGCCAGAGTGATCCTTAGAGGCCAAGATGGGCAAACTTTGTCTCTCAGACTTTGGACATATTGTCAGGAGGGAGCAGTCGCTGGAGAAGGATACCATGTTTGTTAAGGTGGAGGGTCAGAGAAAAAGAGGAAGATTCCCCAAAGAGATGGATCGGCCAAGTGGCAACATCAATGGACTCAAGCGTGGCAACAGTAGCAAGGCTGGCCCAGGATCAGGCAGCGTTTCGTTCTGCTGTGCATAAGGTTGCTATGTGTCACTACTGACTCGATGGCACCTAACAACAACAAACAACATCTGTGGAGAAACTAAAATTCCAGTGACTTTTTTCCAATCTCCATACTCTATTTGACCTTGTCAAAAATGGCAGGAGATGAACTTGAACTGGAAGCTGCAATTGTGCCACACTGTGAGGAATCCATTTCAGATCTATTACCTGAGTAATACTACCCGGTAACACATAGGATCACCATGAATCAAGGACAACTTGACAGCAACTAACAACAATAGTAACTAGCCTTTTGAGCTTTCATTTTGTTAAAACGGAGGTTCTTGTTGTTGTTGTTAAATGCCATCAATTCGGTTCCAACCCATAGTGACCCATGTAGGACCAAGAATCAGTTGGCGATCTTGAACTGCTAACCTCGTGGCCTAAACCAACTTTGCAGTCCAGCACATTAACCCACAGTGTCACACCAAGACTCCAAAGCTGAGGTTAGATAAATTAATAATAAGTTTCTTGCTACACAAACATAATCTGGGGCTCTCTGATGCTTACATAGATATTGATGGAGCAGATCATATGCTGTGGTAGAAGAAAGTATGTTCAGCAATCTTCAGCCTGAGGATGAGCTAGATTATGATTAGGTGGGAACAAAACTCAATTTGAGTCATGTACCTGGTTTCAAGGAAAAGATTAAGAGTGACCTGAGCCCTTAATACCCATCCTTGTCACCTTTCTCGTGAGGCTGTTGCCAGCCTGTACATGGGAACCCTTCCCTCCTGGATTTTAGGCTACAGTATTAGAGATACTTTAGTTGATATTTCAAATGTACACGGGCCAGTGCAATCCAAGGAGAATCTCTATAATTCCAAAACGCAATCCCAACTGTTAAGAAGCTGCAATCAATGGAAGATAGCTTATATCTATAGAACTGAAGCTTTGGGGAAAGAAATGTATGTCACCTGTGGCTTGTATTGTTATTAAATAGCATAAATGCAAAGTGAAACATCAGCATACCCGTTAATACTCCAGTTCAACTCAACACAAATGTGTTCACCACATGCAACTCCTTAAAAATAATAATGTCTTCAATTCTAAGTGAATTGATAATATACTGGGAAGAAAAATCACTTATATATAAGACAAAGAGATAAAATATATCAACAGGAAATGAATAAGAAACAACCAGTATAATCCAGTATAAAATAACTATTGTAATAATTTAGAGAAAAGAGATATTGTTAGAGCTAGAATTCATAAAGCTGGCTTTCTAGAAAACATGGATAATCTGTGGTTTGAAGTACATGTAAGAGTTAGTCAGAGGAGAGTAGTAAAGAGAATCTCCCATGTGAGATGAACATAGGTCTCTGGGGATAATCCTAGAAGAATGCTCCAGAGAAGCCTAATTTTTACTACCTGAGGAGAAGCCCTGGGTTGGGAACAAGGTAGTTATAAACTTTATTTGGCAAACATACACAACTGTGGTGCCGTGGGCTCACATACAGTCCAAAGCACTAAGGGAATTCAAATCATAATGTCTCCAGCGAGGCCCAGAACAGCCCAGTTTAAAGGAAACATGAAGACTTTTTTTTTTTTTTTTAATCAGTCACAAAAGTGGTCAATAACAAAAAATAAATAAATAAAAAGACATCTTCTTAATGTGTTTTTTTTCTTTTAAAAGTGAAACATAAAATTTGTATCTTGTCCTTTTAAATTAGGAAAACAATACAAAAACAACAGCCAGCCAATTTTACACTTTTAATCAGTCACAAAAGTGGTCAATAACAAAAAATAAATAAATAAAAAGACATCTTCTTAATGTTTTTTTTTTCTTTTAAAAGTGAAACATAAAATTTGTATCTTGTCCTTTTAAATTAGGAAAACAATACAAAAACAACAGCCAGCCAATTTTACACAGTTAACCAGAATCGAAGCTGATACTTAAATTTGAATATATGTCCAGAATTAGAGCTGTCAGGTAGAAAGGACTGTTTTTCACGCAACCACATTTTTCACTAGGGTATTGTTTTTTCTTT